CAGAAGTTGGGGGGACAGTGTGGTTGGTATAGATCAGGAAAATTCTACTTATTAGCAACTGAAATTGACACATTACGAGATAAATGTTGGAGTGTGGGTTCCAAGGATTTAAGTTTGGAGGGGGAAAGAGGGAGTATTACTTCAGAAAGAAAGGACAAAACTTACACAAAATTGAGTTCATTAGAGGCCGAAACACATGATTTTAAGAGTTCTGATTAAGTAGATTAAAAATGATAGCACAGTTAGACAGGTAATTCAGTTTACAGAATTAAGGAGCAGGTCATTATTTAATGGAATGATTAAGTAATTCCTTGCTATAAATTTAAAATCTAAAGCTCTTTCTAGATCCTTTGGGACTTGTGACAAATTAGGGTTGTATCATTGATTTCAAAATGAATCCTCCATTTCTTGACCCTACTGCATCCAGATCCCCTTCCTATAAATAACTCCTCCTGTTATTTGTTAATAAATTCCTTAGCCCTCCCTCCACCAGTTTTAATGACTGAAATCCCTACAGACCGCTCATAATGTTCCCCCATACAGATACATGGTAACACTTAGTCCCAGTGTGATAACACCAGCCCCTATCTCCTCCACAGATGCTGTCATGTACACCCCCCCCCGCCCCCTTTCCCTCCATTTGGTTTAATTAATTTAGGTCAGTGGTATAGCAACACCAATTGAATTTGTGAACAAAAATCAATTGCATTTTTGATACTTGCTTGTTTCTTAATCACACATGGAATCGTGGGACAATGCTGAAATGTGAAGGAGGAATTCCAATGGAATGTGTCAATTCCATGAGCTATTGAACTGGTCAGACCAGATCTAGTGTGGTTCATTGGCTATTTTCTTTACAGTCTAAACCATATTTTTACTGGAACAGTTAGCAATCACTGAGATTTTTGGGTTTTTTTTTATATGTAGATGAACATTAATCCAATAAATAAGCAGATCGGTTTTATAAAAATCAGTTTGAGTTAATGTGTTGATAATTTGCATGCATGTAATTAATAGAAGGTGTGATGATCGTACATAATTCTAGATAATCTTGACCTTTAACCTTGACCTAAATGTAATTGGTAATAGTTGGAAAAATTATCCACTAATCTCAATGGCCTGAAACACTAAAAGGGTCACACTCAAGGATATCCAGTATAAGTAAAACTAGTTTGTACCTAAACCAAGGTTGATACATCAATTCCACTCCCCCACCCCATCACCTCTTGGTACCCAGTATAAGTAAATCTAATATGTAAGTAAACCTAGGTTGATACATCAGTAGTAAGTACCTAAACCTCCAGGTTGATACATCAGTAGTAAGTACCTAAACCTCCAGGTAGATACATCAGTAGTAAGTACCTAAACCTCCAGGTAGATACATCAGTAGTAAGTACCTAAACCTCCAGGTAGATACATCAGTAGTAAGTACCTAAACTTCCAGGTAGATGCATCAGGCTAGACTGGTCATCAGCCCCTAAGTTTTTATGAAGAATTTCTCAACTGCATTTTACTACTAGCTTATCTCCACCTAGTTTAAAACTAGAATCAGACATCAAAGTGATCAAAAAAATTTGGGTTATTTTTTTTTACTAAATAATTCAATATTCTAGAGACTGTGGCCAGTCTAGCATCACCAGGCTGTCAGTATCAGTTCTGTACTGGTTAGTGCTGGACTCACTAGTTATTTCTTTGCCATAACTCATCCATTCCACACACACATGGAGGTCAACCAGTACTCGGTGAGGTGGCCTGATCACCAAATAATAATAAATTTACCATCTTCCATCTTTGAATTTTCAAGCATCAATCGATTTTCAAACAATTTCTCTACAAACTTTTTTGATTTTCTCTTGGGTAAGATTTCTAATCTATCTGTTATACTACAATTTTAAGAAAGTGCTTTGTGACAGTTGAAGTATGGTTTTCAAATATTTGTATCGGCATTATGATATTCAAATACATTATAATAGCTTAAAAAAATATATTTTCAGTTTCATTTTTTTTTTCGTTCTTGATATTTTCAAACAGATTTTGGTAAGGGACGTCTTGCATTATCCAACAGCATCTCTGTCGGTCAGAGTATGTGCCTTTTAAAGCGTAAAAAAAGTTGTATCTTGATTTAGAACCTTTTGATGCGATATGAGCTTGAAGGGTTTACGAGAAGTAGCAGAAATCTGTGGGAAATTTTGTCAGTAAATTGTTTGAGCATGATAAGTTGCATCTTTTTTAAACCTTCAAGGATTTTGATGGAGAAACCTTGTTTTGGCGTACACTAGTGTATGGTAGCTATGTTGAATGTACTTCAGTTTTATAATGTAGATGTTCTACTGCTGTGTTTTTTTTGTACAATTATTTAGTCACTTCAGGCCGCAGCAAGACATATCAAACAGAACTTAAAAGATACTAATGCTGCATGAGAGATCGTGATTCCTTTTGATACGAAATAATTGGTTCTTTCTCAAATTACTGCCACTTCTTAATGGTCCGGTTGGTTTCTTGTTTAGGTACAGTTTCATTTTTGTTTAAGGCAAAGATGGAACATTGCTCGTTATTTTTAGTGCATGGGAGATTTCTATATCTGATAAACAATAACTACAGGGATGTTTCCCTCCCACACTTCACCATTGCCAAATGCTATAGAAATGTTTATTAAAAAAATATTGGAGAAATACATGTAGAAAAGATTTCAGATCATTATTCAACAGAGTTTCTAAAATATAAATATAAGGTTTTCTGGCAACCGTTTCCTCAGAAGCCATACTACCGTGTTCTGGGAATGATCAGCCTTAGTTATTAAGTCATCCACCCCTGAAATCTCATAATGAACTATTCCAACCTTTGAATTGGATGAGTTCAAACGTGTTTGTAGGGGTGTATGAGTTAGTTAACTGGTTGTATTTTTCTGGGTTAAACATTCATGATACTAACCTCATCCTTTGTCAAGGACAATCACATCACAATTGAAAATTAAAAAGAACAAAACTACAGGTATATATATATTTATGAATAAACTTGAAGAACTAGATGTATCCAATGATATCTAATAAATGATGCATACCATATTTGTCATAATAAGGGTACCTGCTCTAGTAAGAGACCTCCACCCCCATTAGGTTTGGGAGGAACTGGGGAAAAAGTCGAAATTTAAGATATGTTATTTTAAGTAAATGTAACTTCATGATGGTGCCCACTCTATGCTTACCCTTGCCTGGTGTCCTTATTATGTCAAATTTTGAAATTAAATTTGTTTAAACCTGATCGAGAATTTTTTTAATCTTTGTTGGGTTGATTAATATGATACCAAGGATATATAAGGTATAAGTCTTAAATTTATTTGTTTTAAAGTAACATTCATTTCAAACTTTTTCCTTTATTAAACTGNCCCCCCCCCATTCCATCTCAACATTGTAAGTAATAGCTTACAGTTAAATATTTGAAGTTTAACTTGTCAGTTGGAGACAATAGTACAAAAGAAATGTAAACAGTTAATCTGGTAATGTTGTAGCTGTCAGGGTCGTTAACAAACTCCTGTATGACCAGGATATTGGAGATCTGCATGTCAAATTACATAACAATAGAAGGCAGTGAGACTCTGATAAACGGATACTCGATATCAGAGGTCTGCATGATAATTACATAACAATAGAAGGCATCGAGACTCTGATAAACCGATACTGGGTACTCGATATCAGAGGTCTGCATGATAAATTACATAACAATAGAAGGCATCGAGACTCAGATACTGGGTACTCGATATCGGAGATCTGCATGATAAATTACATAACAATAGAAGGCAGTGAGACTCAGATAAATGGGTACTCGATATCGGAGATCTGCACGTTAAATTACATAACAATAGAAGGCAGTGAGACTCAGGATAAACAAGTACACCTGATACATCCATATTGTATTGTTATAATGGATTCAGACTATACTTTTAAAAAAAGGTGTTATAATTCCAGACCATACACAAGTTCTTTGATAGAATTACTTGTATCTCCACTGTTTTGTGATCGTTCTAGCATTAAGTTAAAGTGTATTAAAATCGGACTTGGATAATTCTCTCAGGATTAATGCACCACTTGTAAATTCACATCAAATTTAAATCGGGAGCTGCTCCTGGTCGCCTGTTTAATTTCCCATGCCTCGTTTAAGCGAGCATTGTCTCTGAGAAAGATTGCAGAAGACATTCATTTGTCTGTACTTTAAGCATTACTGGATCAAGAATTGATTACCTAGCAAAATGACGAGTTCCGTTTTCTTAAAATTTATTTTTTACCATTGAAGTTGCTTTTTTTCTATATTCTGTTTTGGATGTGGTTAAATTAGTGTCAAGCTTTTAATTGTAGTTGAATATTGTGTTCCATTATCTTGAAATTTTATTTCATTTTTTTTCTCCTCATTGTCTTAGATTGAGAGAGAATATTTGTAATTTTTTTTGCTTAAAATGGTTGTGAATTAGTGTCAAGCTTTTCTATGGCCCTATTCAAATTTGATGAGTGTCTTATTAAACAAACAACAGAAATTAGGATTTCCCTGAATATTGTCAGCAAGGCTTTGCTCACTTTAGGGAGAGCTTTTGTCTAAGATTGTTCTTAGCCTCAGGTGGATATCTTTAAAAAATAAAAATCCTGTTTTCTGCAGAGATTTTTGTAAAAAAAGGTGGTTTTATAACATCTGAATTTTCTTTTTTAGTTCAGTATATTCATGTGAGTCTTAATATTTTATCAAATATTGTTTATCCTGCTTCATTTGCAGAGTTATTGCCCTTTTTTTGTTAGGGTTGTTCAGACATCTAATCCCTTTTAACTTTACATGTAGTTCTTTGAAGCCCTTAATGTAAGGTAGTTGTACATGTGTATCAAATGTTTTAATATATAATTAATGTTCTGTTGAATTTTTTGCTCACCAGGCCAGAAGTTGTTTTAATACTGGTTAGCATCTGCACTTACCATAGTCAATACTCTTTTGTAAATTTGTTTCCATTTTTTTTGCAGTTCAGTAACTGGAATCAAGATTTTCTTTCTTTGTGGATCAAGTAACAGTTTATGTTTGTGGGTGGAGAAGTTTAAGGAAACAGATTCTGGAGGGAGTCTACAGAATTCACTGTACATATACTAGTGTGGTACAGCTGGAGGGCGGATTATTTTACATAACATTCGTAGCTCGTGACCTAAATCTCACAGAAACAGGCGGAACAATTCCTTAGGACACATCGAGGTAAGAATTCTTGCAATTTTCCTTCAAATTTGTTTTTCTGTCTGATCTCGTTTCTGGATATTGACGCTTCAAACATTGAACAAGATGTAAATTACAAGCCTGTCATGTTTGTGTCAAAGATACAAGACTTAAGAGTTCGAATTGGAGAGTTCCCTGTGGGAATCTGTAGCCTAAAATCTGTCTGTGTATACAAATGCCTGAAATACAATACATATATTTTACATGAATATGTTTTAAGTATTTGTATTCTAAAGAATATATTTGACAGTTTTCTTTCCTAATATTTAAACTTTCAAATACAGAACACGAAAGTATTGTGTCAAGATTTAATGCGGGATGAATTTAGTCTATTAAATGTTGTTTTGTTAAAATACCTCAAATTCATCACAATATGATCATATTTGTACCTTTCCTTGATCAGGTATCAGGCGTTTGATCAGGTATCAGGCGTTTGATCAGGTATCAGATGTTTGAACAGGTATCAGACGTTTGTTCAGGTATCGGATGTTTGATCAGGTATCAGGCGTTTGAAAATATGTCGGTTGTTTCACTGTAATCTGTATGTACCTAGTACAAGAAACCACGGTAACTCCATAACAGGAAGTTGGTCTGATTATATTATCTCAAAGTAGCACAAGAGTTCAGGTCAGGGCATCTTCTGTGATTTGTTCTGGGTCCACGAATCAAGTATCTGTTCTGGATCCACAAAACAATAATCTGTTCTGGATCCACAAAACAATAATCTTTTCTGGATCCACAAAGCAATAATCTGTTCTGGATCCGCAAAACAATAATCTTTTCTGGGGTCACAAAACAAGTATCTGTTCTGGGGCCGCAAAACAGTAATCTGTTCTGGATCCACAAAACAATAATCTGTTCTGGGGCCGCGAAACAAGTATCTGTTCTGGGGTCAAAAAACAAGTATCTGTTCTGGGGCCGCGAAACAAGTATCTGTTCTGGGGTCACAAAACAATAATCTGTTCTGGGGTCACAAAACAAGTATCTGTTCTGGGGCCGCGAAACAAGTATCTGTTCTGGGGTCACAAAACAATAATCTGTTCTTGGGTCACAAAACAAGTATCTGTTCTGAGGTCACAAAACAAGTATCTGTTCTGGGGTCACAAAACAAGTATCTGTTCTGGGGCCACGAAACAAGTATCTGTTCTGGGGTCACAAAACAAGTATCTGTTCTGGGGCCGCAAAACAAGTATCTGTTCTTCGGTCACAAAACAAGTATCTGTTCTGGGGCCGCAAAACAATAATCTGTTCTGGGGCCGCGAAACAATAGGCCGAAGAAAGCATGACAACTGTTCTAACTTGTGCCCTTCATGTAGAAAACACGCCCATCTAACATGTATGTTTAAAACAAATTTATTCTAGTATGCTGTCCCCACCTTGAAGAATAAAATCTCAATAAAGCAATATGCTGAATAAAACATGACTGTTCTAATATCCCTTCTGTACAGAAAACAAAAATGCCCAAATAAGACATAATTGTTCCAACTTCCTAACCCAGTTGGAGGGTAAAACCCTGTATAAAGCATGTCAGTTGACCTCCCCCTTCCACAAACTGTCCACTGATGAAAGCAAATTTCGTACCTTTTTAAGTGAGAAAAAACATACACGGCCAGATACCTCAACTCTGCCAAAATGATATCCTCTATTAAGATAGGGGATACTGATACAAGTCGTTCTATATGTGCCTCCCTTGCTCACAACCTGCATCCCCCTCACCTTCCCCCTTCTTTCAAGAGGCAGTTAAAAAAATTTGGTCATATGTATGTATTCTGATTCAGCTTCAGGTCCTTCATATCTCAATTGCAACCTAAAGACTTAAAACTGATTGGCCATTTTCACCATATTCCTGAATTTTCTGATTAAGTACAATGATAAGAAATATTCTTCAAATTGAAAAAGTTATTTTTGACAGTTTCCTCTGTGTATTTTCTAAACCACTCAAGAAATAACCATTGGGGTGCAATTTTCTTTTCTATTCTTCACAATAAGTCTATCTTTTCCATTCAAAAACTAGAATTTGAGAAAGTTTATTTTATGTTGTATTCTGGAATATGATTTGGATCATAAGGTTCAGATTCCATGTTGATTTTTAAACAGTCCATTTGGAAATAAGCATCAGGTCATGGGGTCTAATTGCATCGTAGAAATGGTTCCTTGGGCGAGACACATCTATTGGTGACTGAACCAAATATAGGTTTACTGTCATAACTCGTCCATGACAATGACGCAGAACTCAGTCAGATAATAGCTTCTGTCTCATTGTAGTGGATGGGAAATAATGTACCAAAGGACATTTGTATACATATAAGATTTGGTCTGAGCTCAAAGACCTTTAAGTTTAGTTTTAGCAGTAAGTTTATTAGCTCACCTGGCCCGAGGGCCAAGTGAGCTTATCCAATGGCGCAGCGTCCGGCGTTCGGCGTTCGGCAACTTTTTCCTTTAAAACGCTACTTTTCTTGAACGGCTCGGAGGATTTTGACCAAATTTGGTCTGGAGCATCATTGGCCATAGGGTTATCAGTTTTGTATAAACGGAGGGTATGGTCCCTCTTGGGGCAGAGACGCGGGGCCAAATAGAGGGAAAATAGGTAAATCTTTCAAAGTCTACTTCTTCTCAACCAATAGAAGGATTTTGATCAAATTTGTTCTAGAGCATCTTTGGACAAAGGAGCCTCAAGTTTGTATAAACGGAGGGTTAGGCCCCTCTGGAGGCATAGGGGCGGGGCCCAATAGGGGAAATAGAGGAATCTTTTTCTCCTACTATACAAGTGAAGGGATTTAAACGAAATGCAGTCTGAAGCATGCTTAGGGACAAAAGAATCAATTTTGTTTAAACTGAGGTGTGTGGACCCCCTTCTTTGGGGCAGATGAGTGGGGCCCATTAGGGGAAATAGAGAAAATCATTAAAGATCCTTCTTTTCCTTCTGTACCGTTGAAGGGATTTTAACCAAACTTGTTCTAGAGAATCTTTCAGCAAAGGGAATTGAATATTTATAAATGGAAGCATGCTAAAGGGGAAAAACTCAGTTTGTAAAATTGGATAAAAAGGTGCATGTGAGGCCCAATAGGGGAAATAGAGGAAAATCGGGACATAACATAGAAACTCATTTTCTTGGTGTCTTTCCCACCAAAACAGATTTATATGTAGTTCTTCTTGCAACTTTGTTTCTATTACTCCTTTAATAAACCTGTATGGTACTTAGCAGGTTTTAAATTGAAAAATAAAATACCAGGTGAGCTATTAAGGCCCCTGGACCTCTTGTTATCAGAAATCATCTCCTTGACAGTTTTTTTTTCAAAGTTTGTATGTTTCCCATACATGGAAGTTTTTTATTGTAGAAAAACATTGAGAGGTACTGGGTAATTCAATTGAGAAGAGTTTTCTCGCAGAGATGTTTTTTGCTGTGGTATTTTGTCTGCACAATGCATTCCAGCATATTTGCCATCAGATGAATGTGGGATAGTTCATCGTCCATTCATATTGTCGGAGACCTGCCATTATTCAAATCAAATTCTGCATTTTTCAACAAAATTTAAATTCAGTGTTAAAGCTTAATTTTAGCCTGCCCTGTCAAGTTGAGTGAACCTTTCTTTTTTTGACATTTACTGTTTAAAATTCTGCACATAAGGGCATACAATTGGTGAGGGTTTGGGGTTCCATGCTGGTGTGGTTGCTGTGGAAACAAAGTGTCATCTGAATCATTTGATTGAAAGAAAATAGCTTGCCAATAAAAAAGGTTAAACTATGTGGCTTTATTCGTATACAGACAAGATTGATTTAAGACTTCTGATAATTCATTGTGGCGCATTTGTAGTGACAAAAACCAGGCAATTTTTTTTTTTAAACATATTTCTTCATTTTAAAAATTGAAGCTTTTTCACTTCTGGGTCTGTTATTTTGTTGACCACAGTAATGTAGCAAGTAGTCAAGTATTTGCATGTTAGAGTTGACGGAACCTTGACTCAGTGTCCAGTTCTTGGTTGAGATGAGTAGTCATTTCTCCAGGTTTACGAAGTAGAGCTGTCACTTTTCTTCCAGACGGTACGTAATACACTGCTTCAATTTATCGTTTGTGTCTCTGTAAGTTCAGCCGGACTTAACTTATTCATGAGATACTTGGCTGAAATGGCTGTAGTCTTCCTGATTGACCTTTCATGTGGACATCTTGGTCATGTACTCCGGCGAAAATGTCATCTGGAACCGTTTGATTGGAACGTCCGAGCATCTGTCATGCCACATTAGGACACTCAAATTCTGTCCAGTTTTAGAGTGATTGTCTTTCTCCAGACTGGGATGTCATCAGGAAATACAATACACATATCAGTCTAGAGTGATTGTCTTTCTCAAGACTGTGATGTCTTCAGGAAATACAATACACATATCAGTCTAGAGTGATTGTCTTTCTCCAGACTGGGATGTCATCAGGAAATACAATACACATATCAGTCTGTATTTTTAAGGAATTTCAGAATATTAATTGATGGCAACTGTCAAGGTCATTTAGCTTAATAATATCAAATTTACAAAAGTGAATTTGCCATATTGGTTTGAGTATGAGGAACAGAGTGTGTTGAAAATATAGGTTAATGTCAATTAGACTTGATATGTCAAAGACACAATGGTGTTTTGTTATGTGAGGTTTAAGTATGAAGTTTATGATGAAGGTCAAGGTCATTTAGATTTGAAATGTCATACCAGGGGTAAAATCTCAATAGCTTTGAATTAAATTGAAGGTCACTTGTCCTAGATATGTATGAATTTGAAGGTCACTTGCCATAGATATGATATTAATCTGAAAGTCAATTTCTCTGGATATGTGTTAATCTGAAAGTCACTTACCCTAGATTTGTATTAATGTCAAGTTCACTTGCATTATATACATATTAACTTGGAGGTCGGTCACACTAGATATGTATTAAGCTTTAGTTAACTTTATTTGTATTAACATCAAGGTCACTTGCCCTAGATTTGTGTCAACCTGA